TCACCAAATGGTCGAAATATGCATGACAGATTGCTGTCGGGCATTTCCGAGCAGAACGGCCGCCAGCATTACAAATTCATGCTTTGTTTGTCAACCTTCACTGCAGATGCATTAGCTTCTCCACGGGAAACTATTAGGGCTTGTATGCTTTTCAGCATTACAAATTATTTACGCTTACCTCTAAACACCCTAATACGGGCACAAACGGCATAGCTTATTTTGGAAGGCAAAGGAACACCTAAACTACACACGAGAAGCACCGGAGTGCATTACAAGCGGAGTACTATTCTGATTCCTCGTAGTGTTCAGAATCTTCTTGAGTTTTCTTTTGCGTCTCTCGTCTTTGGAGTCGTTGGGAAACCTACGCGTGAAAGAAACCAATCGTCAAAATCAGGTGGAATCACATTACAATCTACAAATTCCTGTGCACAATCTGATGAAAGTACCTCTCGTCAACATCGGCAGGTGCAAAAACACATCCGTGTTTCGAGACTTGCGGAGCTGCATGACAAATTTTTTATGGATGCGTTTTACACAGTATAGCAACGGGGTAAAGGTCAAATACATGATACAGGGTATCACTTTCCAGGACCACAACGCGATTCCTGAACAACCCGACATCCAGTATCTCTTGCAAGTGTGTCTGGGTCTCCTGGAAAGGTAGAGGTACACATTTGTGATATGAATTCTTCTGTGACAGGGAAAATAAGTATGTATAAATCTGTGTTGCACCATTGTCCCCACGAACAGATGTCAGATTTCTGTCATCGGGACGAGAAGGCATTATTTCTCATGCAGACTAGGCATGGACAAGCTGATGCCGAAGACTTCGTCATGCTCTTTGTGCATTCTATTTCTAGACCTTCTGGGCCAGGACCGTGCAAAACCTGCATGACAAACCTCTGTATTGTTCCAGACCCAGACGTAATTGCAATTGATACCGAGAACGACAACTCACCACCATCCGGCCCCCAGCCGAAACGGTCTTCCCAACCGCACGCTTATCAAACGCAAATATGTCTGTGTCAGTCTGGAAGACTGCAGGACTTGTCATGCAGGTTCTCTGGAATGCGGGACGTACTGCATGACAGATTCTGTGAAGTGGTCTCTAGTATGATGCCTTTCCTGCATGAGAACCACATTCATCTTGGTCGAGGACTACCGTGGACAGCTTCATTTGCGGTGCTCATGCGACCCACGTGTTTCCATGAATCAGATGCAGCATGACAAGTTGCGATCTACTTGTTCCAGACCCGGACCACCTATTTCTTGCAGTGCATAACGATTCACCAACGCCCGCTCAAGTCGTGCAACCACCCGGTACTGCGCTGCGGTCCCGGAGTGCCAGACGGGACATCAAGAAGTCCTCCACCCTGGACGACGAGAATTTAACCATAGAAGCAACAGATGAGGCCATACTGGTCCACCTGGACGACAAACTGCAAACCTTCATCGCGAAAGAAAGGGAAAAACAACAAAAAGAAAAAGCAGCTAAAGCGGCGAAGAAGTACAAGAAGCACACCCAGTATCCAAGAAAAAAACGCCATCACAATCACTTGTAGGAGGTTTTGCATCAGAAATTTGTCTCGCGTGACAAAAGTTTCTTGTATTGCAAAAACACAAACGGAAATCGCCTCTAACTCTTGGCTGTGATGCATTTTTGCGCATGACAAAATTTTTTGTATTGCAAAAATGTGCAAAAGTGATTGTGATGGTGTTTTTTTCTTGAATACCCAGATCAAGGTGTGGCGGCACGGAACCCGGTACACGGGTCGCAAGACCAGCTTCGTCGTTGCTCCACCGGAGCAGCAGTGGATGCCCTGGATACCATAGAGAAAAAAGCACGCAGGGCTGCATATGTGTAGTATACTGGGAAAAAAGATAAACTTGCAGAAAGATTTGCAATTTACGAGCCCGTGGCATGCTGTTTAGGATACGCAGCGCAGATACAACTTCCGTGTAAGTATTTGCATTCGTAGTTTTTGCGATAACAGAAAATATGCCCTGCCTGTTTTTTTCTGTGGGATACTGGAGCGATTTTGAGGAGGTCTTCCGGTTGGCGGCGCGTGCCGTTGTGTCTGTATCCCGAGTAAAAATGCCCCCACCCCAGAGTTTTCATGCAAATCTGCATGCTTAAGATATCGCTCATGCGGAGCCCTAATGTGAAACGCATTCTATCGCGGTTTTTTGAAATTTCTAATGCTACAATCAGCATGATGGGCTAGATTTGTGATGCTGCTGTGCTAGCTAAGCACGCTTACAATACGAAGCCAAGCTTGTCATGCGCAACAGCCAAAGCTTGTTGATTTGTCGTGCAAAATTCCCATGTTACTATGGAGCGGGGACGTTTTTGCATAGGATAGTCGGACGTCTGTGTTCCGGACGACCCAAGGACCCGCATCGTCGTGGAGTATCAACTGCAAATGCGTCTGGGTCTGGAAGGATGCAACTTGTGATGCTGTGTTTGGATGGTAAAAAAATCTGTATTGCATCACCAGCAAGAGGACTCCAGTTTGTGCTACTCGGGCACGGCATTTCTCATGCGGAAGAGGGATGAGGAAGCCCCCTAAATATCTGTGATGCCAGGCCGTGCGTTACAGGCATCATGGGTCATGCAAAATATGCATGAAAAACGACCTTGCAAACATCCTGACCCAGACATATTTGCATTTCATAGGGAGAAAGTGTGGGCGACGTTGCAGCTTGCAGTGCCACAGTGCCGCCGCGTCGCCGGTACGGCCGTGCTGCTTCCCCTCCATTCACGGCAGGGTGTATCAAACGAAAATATGTCTGAGCCGGGATCATGAAACTTGTGATGCTAGTTTGATTTGCATGTTTGGCGCACTGCGACATGCAGGTACTTACTTACGCGTGAGAAGTTTTTGCGCTCCTATGTGTTTCTCTCTCCGCATGGAAAACTGCATTTTCGCATGACGGACAAGACGGTGCTTTCCTCCTCGAGTGCATTAAAGATTTAAGAGGCACGCGAGACAAACATAACAAAGTTGCATTCTTCCAGACCCAGCAACGCTTGCAGTGCATAGTGTGCGAAAAAGGAGTATGAGGGAAAGAGTTACGCGTCGTTGAGCGGTAACGCACCCATCCGGGGGGTCCCCTATTTGATGTGGTTCGTCGGGCTCGCCTTCGCCGGCAACCGAGACCTGGCGTTTCGCGAGATCCAGTACCTCTGGCCGAAAAGTGTCCCGGTGGATGCCGACTTTGAGAAGAAAAATACAGGGGAGGAAGATGCTGTCGGGCCTATGCATGGCAAATACTTCTGAGCCCTCTGGAATAGGTAGGGTTTGTGGCGCAGCAGCATGCACCACCGGGATCGAGCCGTGGGTCATGTGCTACCTGTTGCATGACAAACCCGCCAACCTTCTAGGCACAGAGGTATAATTTGCACTTGATAAATAAACCGCCGACGAAACAGGCCGAGGAGATGAAGTCGTCACCGGTGAAAAAGCCGAAGCAAGATATCAAACGGAAAATAAATCCCTCCTCCCCATATCAAAATGGAAATCTGTGATGCGGGATTTGTGTAGTACACAAATCGGTTTTGTCTTGCAGTAGAGGACTGCAGGCAGATACAAAGCGGGAGTGGGGGCGTTGTGGTGTAGGCGCCTAGCAAGGCAGGCATATCCTTCGTAGGCCATGTACTTAGCATCACAAACTTCCTGCGGAGCGCGGCCAGATTTTTGGACTTGCCTTCTTGCAAGACAGAGACGACTTGTGGTCTCAAATCAGCATCGCAAATCTTCCGGCGTGTCTCATTTTGGTGTGGGGAGGGGGGCACTCTTCCTCACAATACAAGAGCGGTCCACTTCGCCCGTGAAGGGGAAAAGAGGGAGCGACAGTATGCTGGGTAAAAACACCACCACCCCAGAGTTGTTGTCATGCTGCTTTGCAATTAGAAGAAAGTTTTAATTTGCAACGCGCATCCCCAACATGAGAGGCATTTGCATTTAATATTCCGCTCGTGTATTTGTCATTTGTAATGTTGGAAACAGGATGAGAAAATAGCTTTTCTAATGCGGAGAATGCGCTTGATCTTCACAAACTGCACTGCAATGCAGAGAGGAACTTGTCATGCGTGACTCCCAAAGCTTTCGGCTTTGTATCGCCAAGTAGTTCCCCTCGTGGTTACGAAGAGGTGGGGGAGTTTTTACTCAGGACAACCAGCTTCGGGTTCGCGGGTTACGTCATGATTTATCCTGTGCAAAAGTATCGTACTCGTAGTAATTGCAGCCATGCATTACAAATCTTTTTATCAAGGCAAATCCGCATTACAGATTCAATTTCTCATGCTAAGGCAATTTGTATTGCAATTGATACTACTACGATACTTTTGCAATGCATATAATTCCGGAGGACCTGAAAACCGAGCTGGACGTCGAACGCGGCGTCTCTCCGAAAAAGAAATCTCCAAATAAATCTCCGAAAAAGAATAAATCTCCAAAAAAGACCCCAGCGGCGCAGGTGGTGCCACCAGAGCACCAATCGTCCGGCCCGCCGGCGAAGAGACAGCAGCGGTTAGAAAAACAATAGGTAGCAGCGGATTCTATTTTCCTCTTCAAAATCTTCCTGTCCTCAGTGTCGTCACTTCATCTCCTGCGAATAAGTAGCAGACGTTCTGCCGCGGACAACTCCTGGCATCTTCTTGTCTCCGGAGTCAGCGGATCTCCGTACCTCGACTTGTTACCGCTTGTAGAATAGAAAAGATTGCGGGACCACCTCAGGAAAAATTCTCCCTACCATCAACTCCCCGCACTTCTCGGTTCCTGATGATTCGGAATCTGTCCAGAAGGAGAGAACGAGCAGAAGCAGCTACTACTACACCCAACGGGCGATCCTGGTGATGCCGGAGGGGGAGAGGAAGAGAAGACCACTACAGTACAACCGCTAGCACAACTTGACGCTACGTAGGAGCAAACAAAAAACTACCACTGAGTACATGGATCTCTTTTGCTATACCTAAATCAAAACTTGAGTGGTTGCATCTACTACATTTTCTTTTTCTTGTTTCTCATTACATTGTTTCCAAAACAAATTGTTCGGCTACTGAACGTGACCGACATGTTCGGCTATACGTCTCCTTTTTATCAAACGGAAAATTCTTCGTCAGGATCACTCCTCGGGGATCTTGCAATACAGAAATCAGCTGTCGCGAACCAAACTGTATCACAGCCAAATTTCGTACTTACTGGTTTTTTTCGGCAACACAAAAAAGGGTTTCGATGCTAGAAAAACTTCTCATGCAAAACCTACACTATATGAGTCGTGACATCGACAAACTTTTTTCTCTCCGTAGTTACTTTGGTGACACGAACCTTCAATTATACCTAGTTTTTTATTACTCTCGGCAAATACAATAGCTACCTAAGTCGAGCGACGAAGAAACCTTTTGCAGCAGAAGTGAAGCGTTATACGCGTACATCTTTACAAGAATCTTACACTGGACGAAGTAGAGAGCAGAAACTACGTCATCAAAGGGAAGCCCTCTCTCTTCATCTCCTACTAGAAGTTTCCGAGCATACATTTAGCTACGAGGCTTTTTGCATCGGTGAAACAACTAAAAGATGCTGCACTACATAGCAGCAAACCAACGCAACAAAACAAAATTGTAAACGTACGGGCACTTACAACAATGACCAGCTTTTTTCCATCACAGGAGCTCTAATCTAATAACGAAGGGTATGTAGAACAGATATTTTTTTGCACGACCGAGCATCTCTTATACTGCTCCAACACTTTGATGCGAGTGACAGAGAAAATTGTAAACAAGTTTCAAATACGTCGTCTACTGAACCAAAGCAACAGTTTTTGGAAAATATGAGCTGACCAGCAGATGATTTTCGGCTTTACGTTTCACGCGAGCGTGGCAACATTTCGTTTTTATTACAGTTTTCGACTTTTTCATGAATATTATCTGAAAACACAATGAGAATGTGAATTATCTTCACTGGTCTTCTACAACAATGTTTCTTTTTCTACCGCGGTATTTCTAGTACACGAAGTGCTTCTGTCACTCCTGATAGCAGCAAAAGACACTTTCCAAGACGCTTGTCTTGCGCGTCGCTTTCATTCAATCAAAGGCGTCTCTTAGTGCGTCGTAAAAAAAAGATCAAAAAACAGATGACTACAACCCATTTTGCTGCTTGTCGAATAAACTTCTACGTAACCAAATTCTGCTATAATTTTTTTCAAAAACAAAAAAAGATCAAAAACACCAAAAACAAATTTACACGTACCCATACCCGAAAAGAGAAAATTATTAGTTTTTAAAAAAGTATCCCGAAGAAAAAACGGCTTGGAACGCGATCACGACAGTGCGCCATCAAATGTTCTCAGCGGAGCAGTTTTGAGGAGTGTTGCCTTACCCAAATGTCGTCGGTCGCTCGGTGTGATCTTCCCATGTGCGTGTCTTCTCGGATTGGTGTAGGATTTTTTTGTTTTGTTTCATCTCTTTGCCGCACCGAGACTATGCGCAAGAAGAAGAACTGGGAAGATGCAAAAATACTTAAGTTTGTTTTTGACGTTGTACTATCACAGCACCCTCTCTACTCACTTTCAGAAGGTAAAGGCATCCGCCCACTTTCGGTCACTCGTCTTCTCGAGCTAGCGAAGAACCGCAATACAAAAAACCCCTTGAGTAGAACATCAAAATGCGTGTGTAAATACTTTTAAACGTCTGCTCTCGTGCAGAAGTGCTTGGGCGGACGAGATTGGGTTACTATCTCCTTCTGTTGTCGCCTTTGCTCTCCTGCTTCGCCGCGGGTTAAAATGGACAATCAGGGAGAAATGCCGGACGCTAGCGATAAGAATGTGGAATCCATCAAGTTTTTGCTTTCGCTGAAAACCGGAAAGATTGCACGCCACGTGGACCGCTGGATTTACTTCGGTCAACTGGAACTGGACGTTCCTTATGAGGCAACGGCGCGCGAGCTGAAGCAGACGCTGCAGGACCAAAGCGGGATCGACGTCAAATATTTGTCGCTGAGGAAGAAATTCTTCTGCCCACCGGGTTTGGATATTAAGGGGGAGAACGACGTAGACTATGGCTCGTACCACATGGAAAACGACGACGAACCGGTGTTTCTACACGTCCTCAAACGCGGCGACCGTCGTCTGGAGCACGTCAGCCCAGAACTACACTTCGACACTACACCGGAACGAGTGCGAATCCGGGCTACGGCGGCGGACATCGACTTCGAGCTAAAGTGGTGGGAATACGATTTGCAGCCGGCGAGACGACATTTGGGTACCCTTTCCAGCCCCGAACCGGCCAACCAGGAGTTCCAAGAGGATCCGTGCATGGTCTACGTCAACGTCTATGACATCAAAAACCTCAAAGGTTTGAACAAGGTGGTAGAGGGGGTGAGTAATAGCGTGAAGGGACTCACCGGGAAAGATTTTTCTTTCGGCGGGGGTTATCACGCCGACCTCGAGGTCTACGGCGCACAGTTCGTGTTCCACCAAAGTGGCGCCGGGGGGGCATGTGGGTCCCTGATCTGCCGCCCTTGGCCGCGCAACGTCCCATACCAGTACTTGTATAAGTACAGCATCCCGGCTGGGCATACCAAATTCTCGTTCGTATCTCTCCAGAGAAAAGGCCTACGAGCACATCATATCTAATGCCATAAGTGCAAAACTAAAATCCCAAACAGCATGATGCGCTGCCCTCACCAAAGATCATGGATCAGATTTTTTTGTGCAATTGCCATCGATGCTGAGCTTGCCTTTTTCTTTCGCATACGGCGGTGAAGTCAGGAAAGCGGCAATCACCACGGCAAGGCAGACAGAGCCGGGCAAGCCAACGTGGACTGATGAGTACTACAACCCAACCAGACAGATATCGAAATGAAAAATACCCCCTTCTGCAAAGGGAATTTTTGCTGCTGGATTTCTGTATGCAAATCCTGTCATGCGAGACGACAATAGGCATACGCAAAGGCAGGGAGCCTACTCGTTGACATGTTAAGTTACATGTTGCCATGTTAAGTATGAAAGCCAACAAATTGCCAGAAAGTGTACGGCTATTCCATTCTTGCAACACAAATCCATTTGCATCTCAACCGAAAGGAACCAACTCTTGAATAAAGTAGAACGGGGGTTTTTCATGTCATACCAGAACTGTGTCGACTATGTTGTGTGGCTCCTCGGTATCGCAGATGAAAAAAGCATTGTTAGTGTAACTTTGTGATGCGCACCATGCACAGTGAGTGCGTCTGTCAAGAACTTCTCATGCTGGTCATGGATTGTAAGGTCCACCCATGCGCGTTTCCATATCCATGTACTAACTACGCATGAGAAGTTTTTACTGTCATGCCAGACAGATTTGTAATGCTGATCCTCCCAAATAAAAGTTACACCTACAATCTTTTTTTCGTGGATAAACGATCACATAATCCCCGACTGGAGAGAAGGGCGAACGGGGAACGTGTCGCTATCGGGTGCACATCTGTGGTCTAGGTGTAGAAATTTGTAAAGGCATATCGGGTAATGAGGGCGTGTTGCGATGCGCAGCCAAATTATACGACAAATTTTTACAGTGCTATGAGATATTAGGAGTTGCATATTCCGCATCAAAAACTGTGCATTTTTCTCACAGAGCTTCACAGAAGTTGTGACAGATCAAAAGTAGCATGACCTACAAATCTTCCAATGCCCTCCCAGTTTGCAGTGCATAGTCGTCTGGCGGGAACGAACTCGAACGGCAGATCTACGATGTGTGGAAACTCGGGCGAGAAACCGGTCGTCCTGTCCTCGAGGGAATTGAGGCAGCAAGGGAACATGTAGTCGAGGGTTTGAAGATAGCAAAAGGGGCGGCGCAGATAACGAGGGGACTCATGCAAGCGTTCAAGGAGGAGATGACACCCAGCGGACCAGCCGTGGTTATCAAATGCAAATGTGTGTGGGAATGGAACATTCGAAACTGGTAATAGTTGACTTGCGTTTTGTTTTCTGACAAATCTTCTGTATTGCGGTGGCAACAAATGGGCTGCTGCCCTCTTAGGCATGCCAAAACACGGTAGGGAGATAAAACGCAAGTTGTCATACCTAGCGCATATGGGAAACATGGAGCAGAAAAACATACATTTGTCATGCATATGTGCATTCGAGAATGCCTCCCCTAACCACAACTCAGCATCACAAGTTTCTAGACCCAACCAGATTTGCAATGCATAGCACCCGAGTGAATACCCACCTTCAGCAAACTCGGGTATCTAACAGAAAACAAGCACACCCGTATTGCCGGACTCAGAAACTTTTGCCATGCCGTTTTCAGTGCCATTCTTGGGTGTCCGGCACGAGAAGGGTTACTTCTAGTATCTTTTGTTGTCCTCGTCCGCATGACATTCTCCGGCTAGAATGACAGAAAAGTGCTTCTCCTGTATCTCAGCATTAGAAAGGTTCATCTGATGACGGGAAAACAGCATTACAGATTTGATTTCTTTCTGGAATGGGTGTACAACATGCTTTTCTTGTATAGGATTCTAATATCTGGGAAAGCAATTTGCTCAGCACTGAGAAGATTTTTTGAAAGGCTTGCTTTTCTTTATGTGGCTGAAGAAATAGCAAGAACGGAGGATTAAGATTGATTACGAGACACCACGTCAACAGTGAAGTAGATGCACTGGTCTTTTAAAGTGAAAAGAAACCATCTTCAAGAACCCGCCGAGCAGGCTGCAGCGCGAAGACACGCGTGCTGTGATTGTGAGAAAGAACCAACGCAAAACAATTGTGTTCACCATGCACGTTTGCGATACCTTACTTGACGTTGAACTACGCAATTCCGAAGTGATGATGATGATGATGATGATGGTGATGATGATGATGATGTTACCCAGTAAGTTGTTGCAACTCTAGTTTTTTTCTTCAGATCATTATCGAGCACTACAGAACACGATCTTCAGAACCATCCGTGCTGCGACAGAACGGCTTTTTTCAAGCTGCAAAATAGGTTTTTTCTTTTTAAGACTAGGTTACCTACCTGGCGAGCAGATCCGAAAGAGCGCGATCAGATATTTTGTACAACTCAGCCGGCGCTATTTACTTGCTGCTACAAAATTCCACCCATCCGCGAATCGCGACGGCTTTGGCCACGTTCTCTGGTTTTGTGCTGCCGTGGCATGTGCAGTACTGGGCAACACTGAATTCCTTCCGTTCGTTTTTTTCGAAAGATTTCATTATTTCCCAACTACAAATTAGAGAGGACGAGATGATAATGAAAAAAGAATCTTCAGTAATTTTGATCTGCATTTGCCTCGGGCTGTTTTCGCAATAAGTAATAATGAAAATGATTCTGCGCGCCAAAGTGCGGGTTAGGACTACAACTACTACACCGAACTACAACTACTACACCGAACTTTAACTTCTACACCGAACTTAGTGCGGACACCGAACTTCTACACACTCCGACGAAGGCCGTCTGGTGCGCGCCAAAGTGCGTGCTTTTGACGGACCGCAAAAGTGAGAGTCTACGTCTCCAGTGACCTTCCATCGACGGAGCTTCGCCCAGAATGGATACCGTAAGGAAAAATCACCGCTCCCCATATCAAAACGAAGTTTTTGATGCAGGATTTCCGTATTGTCTTGCGGTAGAGGATTGGAGGCACATGCCGTGTATGAATACAGGGCTTCTGACGTGGACGCTTAGCAGCACAAATGTCTACGTTTGTAGCCCACGCAGCATGACAAACCGTCCGCATAATGCGGCGGAGACTATAGAGCTGCCTTCTTGTAAGGCAGATGTGGTTTGTGACCTCAAATCAGCAACGCAAATTTTCGGAGACATACCTTTTCAATATGGGGAAGGGGGATTTTTCCCTTCGATAGTGGACGCGTTTTACCCAGACGTCGGATATGGGTCGGCACTCCCAGCAATACCCCTGGTATTCATTCTGACTGTTTCGTGCGAATTATTTTTGAAAGCTCTTCAATCTGCACAAGGTGTTTTTTATACTTATTCGACCAGCACTATGTGTTTCTCTTCCTCTTATTTGCTTTGTCATCGAGGAAACCATTCCCAAAATAAAACTGATCTCCTTCATCTTCTTGTAAACAGAGCGGCTTCTACCCCAATCTCTACGAGAATAGCGACACCAGTATGCGGAGAAAAAAGTCTCCTCCTGTAGTAGCATACTCGAAGAAAGTAGACTTGTCAGCGATAATACAAGAAGTTACATGACTTGTACTGTAGGCAGCGACTGTACGAGGAGGACTGCATAAATTATATTAGACACGGCTCAGTATCGGGTCGTTCAGAAGTGTCGTAGCTGAGTGAATGTACTAAGCAGTGAAGTCTTTCCTCTGGCGCACGACATGGTGCTAACGAAGAATTCCACGTCGAGTATGTTCTTGTAGAGGGGCTTCTTTCTGTTCCATAAAGACCAAGTCCTCTCCATATCCCAGAGAAAAAAGTTGGCAGGTCGTATTTGTAATGCAAAAATAAATACACAGAAAAACTGGTCATGGGCGGCCCCATAGCATGCTGCTTCGGATATGCAATAGAGATATTTTTGTGTATTTATTTTTGCATTGCAAAGCTGACCTGCCACCTTTTTCCTGTGGGATAATCCATGGTGTCTGCTGAAGCCGCCCGTCCTGCGCAAGACAGAGATCCAACTGCTGCCGCCCGTGATCAACCCGACCCTGCGCAAACCAGAGAAGAACAAGTTCGCGCTGGTTCTGCAGAAGCCAAGTATCGCAGTAGTGGGTCCTGATGCTAGTGCAGGAAATCAAGAGCAGAAACAGGCGCGCCATCATGACGCTCGTCCAGAGATCTTGCAGGAGCGACTCGAGGAATCTGATGAAATAGCACCACAAGCGGTTTTTATCAAAATCAAAACTCGCCCCTATCCATATTCAAACACAGCTTTGCGATGCGCGCTTTGTCAACGGGAGTCACTCTGTCATGTAGCTGCCAGAAAACAAAAAACAACGGTGCATAGAAGCGAGACACTTTGCTGGTGCTTCAGGAAGACTGAAGATACAAGACTGCGATGCCCAGGATGGCATGTCCAGTGTCCCACAAAGTGTCCCGCCGACCTTGGCCTTCGGGCTGATATTTGCCGACAAAACGCGGAATGAAATATTGCCTTTTTTATTAGGGATAGGGGTGGTTTTTTCTTCCTGATACCCGTGCCTAACGTTCCCGAGCCCCAAGCGATAGTATCCATTGCAAATATGTCTGGGTCTGGAAGGAAGCAAGATTTGTATGTAATGCTGAACCTCCATATCTTCAACAAACTCTGTATTTACGTGTCACGGAATAGTGCTGGTTCTGTGTCATGCGAAATAGATTTTCTCATGCGTTTAATACATCAAAGGACCGTTCGATAATCTGTCATGCTCAGCTACCTACTCTAATCGTTTTGTCATTCACGTATTAGCATGAGACAACTTTCCAGACCCAGACAACATGTTTGCATTTGATAGCAAGTGGAGCCGCAAACCGACGGTGGAGGCCAGCCACGACATCCTGACCCGGACGACCAGGAAACTATCCTGTGTAAAGACGTCCCATCCCCAGAGTTGTCATGCAGACTTGCACAGACAGACACACTTGTGATGCGCATCCCCATGCTAGGCATGATTTGTAGTCGTGTTTTGGAACTTGTACTGCTGTAAAGCGGATAATAATAAATTAGATGGATTTGTAATGCGGCTATGCTTGCTAACCTGCACTACACTACGGCCTGCAACTTGTCATGCGTGACTCCTAAAACTTCTAGGTTTGTGTTGCAAACCCCTAGCTTGACTCTGGGCTGGGGACGTTTTTCCTCAGGATAGAGATGCTGGTGGAATCACTGGAAGAATCCGAAGAGAAACCCGACCTCGAGATCCCCAATGAATCAGCCGCTGGACCCCCCAAAGTTCCGGGACAAGAAAAACGAGAGGAGCCGCAAAGTGAACCTGCTGCTGCGAGCGCGATATCCATTGCAAATATGTTTGGGTCTGGAAGCGTGCGCAACGTTTGTCATGCTCGGGGGCTAACGTGGCTCTCACAACTGTCAACATCCACGCTATTGTTCACAAAGGTTTGGATAGCACTACCTTGTTACTGTCATGCAGAAATATTAACGCAGTCTGTATAATGCATGACATTTACTTCGGCGCATGTAGGAATCGACGGCAAGCACGCAAAGTACGTAACAAGTTGTCGTGGTTCTGCGCCGTGGTCGATTGAGGCGTCGGCGTGACTCTACTTCAACCACCAGCATCAAGAGTTTCCAGACCCAGACGTATTTGCAGCGGATAGGAAGCCCCCCGGCACAAAATCCGTTGCAGCCGCATCTCCGACGATGTCGCACGGAAACGCGAAGCGGAAGGGCTACCGGTGAAGCACCTTCGCTGCGTCGATCGCTACCCGAAGAGGACGGTCCATGTGGACAGATATTTGCGGGGCGTGAAGGAGGTATAGATTTTTCCATTTGTTTTTTTTATTCCCGACGACGAATTATAATTATCTGGCATGCTCTCATCTAGTGCAAATAGGTCTGGGTCTGGAAGAATCCGAGTTTGTCATGCTAGGTCCTTTGATCGAGATAAGCACAAAAATCTGTATCGCATAAGCAGCCAAATGGTTTCCCATTCTTGATTAGCACAGGGAAAAATTTCTCATGCGCAATAAGTAGCTGCATTAGAGGAACTTATCAAAACTTGTGTTTCTAGAGACCGCATTCCAGACCACCTTCTGGACCACTCAGAGGTAAGGAATTATATTACCAGAATGCGAAAGCTGCATGACAAACGTTACATCTTCCTGAGGACCTCCTTGCAGGCATATTTGCGATGCATAAATCATCCCCAAGTACGATGATTAAGTTGAACAGAACCCACGACACAACAGGCTGACGGCACCAGGGTGTTTCCAGTGGACCTTGAACTCGTGGTGTGCTTGATTCCCCCGAAAACAGTTTTTGGCGAGAAAGCTGGCATTTTGCAAGAACTTATACCCAAGGTCCCCGTGTTCCTTCTCCGCGCGCACCTATCCCCTGCAGATATGTCTCAGTCGAGAAGAAAGCATCGAGTTGGATTTTCAGGAAATCTGTATTGCATGACCAGACACAGGGGTCCAGTTTGTGCTTCGCGGCAGGAGCATTTCTCATGCGGGATAAGCATCTTCAAGAAGCCATGTAAAAATCTGTGATGTTCAGGCATACATCGGAGACATCATGGGTCAAACAAAATGCGCATGACAAACGTTGCACTTTTCCAGACCCAGATATATTTGCAATGCATAGCACGAGGTACACGACGATCTCGACGGGTTGGAAAATAAACCACAACACTACAATACCACATGCTACATCTGGACCAAAAAAATCGAAGAGCGACCTTTGGAGACTATCCAGATCCGCCGGAGCGGACCATCCACGATGGAGAATAAATACATGCTGAGAACCGTCTTCGAATCAACAGACAAGTTTGAAGAGCACCCGGACTCGCCGCCTGACCACCAGCAGCAGTTTGAAGATCACCCGGAGAAGGTCGTTATGCCCTTTTACCTCGGCCGCCTGACCAGCATGCAGGCCTTGGACACGATATTGCGAAACCACGAAGAAAAGCCACAGGTAAAGCGTCTAGTTAATAGGCCGCGACGCATTAGAAACTAACTGGCACTCCAGATTTCGACGAAGGAATTTGTAATGCAGATTTGAAGAATCGAAGTGGTTTTATTTTAGATGGTGTTCGCTTACGACTTCGGTATGAATGCGTCTGACAATTAACCTCTCCACTTCGTGTGTAGATCCTTCAGGCCTTGGAAAAAATGACGAAAAAAAATCACAGGAGAAGTTCGACGGGCTATGGCGAAACGGGAACCACTTCCTTCTCGATCTGCTCGAGCCGTTCCACCCCTATGCATTGCAAATACCGCTCTGGGTCTGGAGGATTACGCCCTGTTATGGCATGCTTTTGGAACCTATCGAAACCTGTATATTGTCATGCGAGGACATGGGCTGCGTCAACATCAAGAAGCAGTTGGGCAAGCTGCTCCGTCACCAGGGCATAGATCACGACAAACAGCGTGCTTTAACGTTTTATGCAAAATGTGCATGACCAACACCTGCTTTTATTTTGCAGATCCAGACATGTTGGCAATTGATAATTCCCCAACAGAAAACATGTCCGCGGAGAACCAAAGGCTGTACGCGCAACGGCGAGAGGGCATTTTCGTGCCGGACAAAGATGACGAGGAACATGATTACGAGCGGACGTACAAGCGGACGATGAAGATGACCGCGGACCGCCTGCAGTTTTTCGAGAAACGTATGATATCCGGAGTAAGAGCGGTCGCACATGATCGTCTCGCAGTTCAAAACGCAGGCATCAACAGCATTGGAGCGTAGGTCGTTTTCCAGAGTTGGGTCGTAGCGCTGCATCGCAGCCACGCAAGATTCTGTGTTTTTTGTTTCGTGAAGTTTTATTTCTTTTCGTCTGTTTTTCAAATTTGGCACAAATGTGATCTGCTACCGCTCTTTTCCGGGTGGATACCTATCGGAGCTACCGGAAGCCTTGCGAGCAGGGGAGTATCGCACAGAAAAGGACAGGAAGTGTATATTTGCATATCCGACAAGGAATCGACGAAAAAATCTGTATTTTTGCGTGTCCTAAACAATATTCTATGCCCTCACCCCGGACAGATTTTTTTGTTTTCTGCATTAAGTGCAAATATGTCTAGCCTGTCTTTTTCTGTGGGATAAGGAGTTTGACAAGCTCAAGCAGTACTGGCTCCGCCTCCAGATCTGTATCCTACAGAAAAGTATACCCGTATCAGAAAAATTTGAATTTGCCTCGCCAAAGACGCGCTACGACAATCAGCTTTGTAATGCGGAGACCACAACATGCTTTATTTTCTGGCACGCAGAAGTTGTAATGCGCACAAGCAATTTGAATAGAAGGTGGTGGCAGGAAATAAAGTTGTGTTTCTGAACAGACAAAAAGTGCATGGTAATTTGATTTCGCATGAATGCGGTATGGGTCTGCTTTTCTATGGGATAGCCTATGGAGAATAAAAAGGGCAGCACCAAGACATGAAGAGAAAAAGCTCGTATCTAACGAGGACAAGCTCTCTATGTAGTGCGAATATGTCTGAGTCTGGAATGTTGGGGGAGTTTGTGATGCGAATTTTCGACCACACAAAAACCTGTGTAATTGCATGAACAGCAAAAGGTGCTCAGATTTTAGCTGCCCGGAGAAGGCATTTCTCATGCAGGATACGCAGGAGCAAGCCTTCGCAAAGCCTGTAATGCTACAAAATGCATCACCGACATAGCGGGTCATCTGAAATCTGCATCACAAATTCCCTGAATATTCCAGACCCAGACATATTTGCACTTGATACTCCTTGCATCCAAACAACTGTTTGTGGTTTTTTTGAATTTTTGCCTATCCACAGCAAATTTCCCGTACACGTGCAAACGCTGTTTCATCAGGACAGAACTTGCAGCCTTCAAACCTATTCAGCATGACAAACTGGACACTGCAAGTTCTAGTGAAGTTTGTCATGCATCTTGTACATGTACGGGAAATTTGTATTGCATATTGCATCAGTGTTGTCGTGTGGATCTTTCGAGCCCGTCTTGGTGATGAACCGTTACCGCGTGATACAGGGAACCTCGAGGGGAGGAACATGAACGCCCCAGTGCCCTTCGATCTGGCCTACACCGACGAAGGCGAAGTATCCAAATGAAAAATCCCTGCTCTCCCTCATGCTGAAAAGTATGCATTGCCGAAATGCCCGGGCCTGCAACAGTGCGAACTTCTTGTCATGCTAAATAAAAGCCGGGGTGATATTAGTGCTGCATGATTCCCAAATGATATTAAACTTGTCATCTTTGGACCACGTTAGAAGAGAGTTGCTCATGCAGGATAGGCATGGTGGATAGCTGTGTCCGCAAATCAACTCTGTATTGCAAAAAGGCAGCCTCTCAAGCCTTTGCTTCTCAGGGCACCAGGTGATTTCTGCAGATTCTGTGAGACGGACAGTTATCTGTCATGCGCAAAGACCTCCACTTCCACACTCCTACCTAGACTGAGGACCTGCCTCCAGGTCCCGACCCAGTAAAACAGCACACCAAAGTTTTTTACAAAATAAAATTTGTATGGATATGGTGCTGGGCTGCAGTATGGAGAGGGTTTTTTTTCAGTTTGAAACAGTCCTACCCCAATGTACAACGGCATCCCGCACGCACCCAACGACGTCTCGCAGCCGAAACCCCCACCCCCAGACAACGGGGACGACAACACCGGCCGCCCACTGCTCGACGGCGCAGCAGTGCCGGCATCTCCAGACCCAATTCCTGTCGGTGAAAAACCTCCGGAAACGCCATCATCGGCAAAAGAACCCGACGAGCCGATGCAGGACGCGCCCAACATCCACCATGACAACCAGCGTCTCGCACACGGGGTGACTACTACAACGAGCGACTTCGTGCAACCAATGCCGGGTCGAATCGAGATCGACCGCGCCAACGACCTTGCGCCCACCCTGTTACAGGAGCCCGGCCCGAAAATATGGATTGCAAAGGCGTCTGGATCTGGAAGAGGGCAGTACTTGTCATGCTTGTGTCACATGTAGACAGCTGAATCGGTAAGGCGTGAGCAGAAAAAATAAAACTTTCTTGCCTGTGATGCAAAAGTGCAGTTTGCCATGCGGAAAGCGAGGTACGTCGGACGAGTCCAGAAACTTGTCAAGTGTGGCTGTGCATTGCGGTATACAGCGCTCACCACCCTTCACAAACGAGCATTACAAGTAGTTACCAGCTCCAGACACATTTGCAATGGATAGAAACTTCTACCGTACGACGTTTTCGAGATCGCGGATGCTACAGGGGAGAGCACGCTTCTCCAAGTGCGCAACGACGAGGACCCGGAACTTATCAAAATGAAAAATCCCCCCTCCCCATATCAAAGCGGGAATTTGTGTAGCATGATTTGTAATCACAAAACAACACATTGTCATGCTAGAAGGGAAGTAGAGATGCGGACTGTAGTAGTGGCTCGCGCTGGAAAGCCGTGCTTCTGCAGCATGACAGGAGGCAACTGGAAGCGGAAAACAGCATAACAGATTGCCTGCAAGCAAAACCGCAACTGCATCTCTTGCTGGCCTTCTAGCAATACAAGTCGATTTGTGTACCCAAATGTCACGAGTTCTCCTTTCGATAGGGCGGGGAGAGGGGATTTATTTTCCTCACGATAGAACTGTTCCTGAAACTAGAAGGCATCGTCGAGCAGCTGAAGCAGCTTTATCCTAATGTAAAAACGTTCTCACCCTAGAATTGTCATGCAAAGTGGCATGCCTAAACACGTCTCGTGCGCAACCCCACGAGAGCCATTTTCTCATGCTATCCGGAAGTTTGTGATGCTGGAATCAGGATGAGGTTGTCGGTTTGTGATGCGTCTCCACTAGCTACCTAAAACACCACTACCATACGCGTTCAAAGAACTGATCATGCGGCGCGCTAGGCAAAACTTGTGGAGTTGCGTAGTAAAATCCGGATCTGGACTCTGTGGTGGGAATTACGTTTTTCGCCACAATAAGCTCAACTCCAAGGCCTCCACCACAAGCGGTCCCGGGACGACCGCACTGAACTCGAAGGTGAGCGCGCCGACCACTTTCCAGCCGGAAGAACCACCGACAACGGCGCCAAACCTGGCGTGGAAGCCCCCGATGGTATCAAATGCAAAAATGTCTGGGTCTGGAAGAGTGCAGCTTGCGATGCTACGTTTGGGCGGTTCCAAAAAAATCTGTATTGCATGAGCAGCAAAGGGAATGCAATTTTTGGTATGCGGAGATGGTATTTGTCGTGCAGAGTAGGCATCAAGAAGCTCTCAAAAAATCTGTGATGCTACAGCATGCATCACAGACATCATGGCCCATGCAAAACGTGCATGACAAGCCTCAGGACCTTCCAGACCCAGACACCTTTGCAATGCATAGATGACGATTACGATCGATTCGGACAACCCGGTCGAGGTGCACGGACTCCTGCGGACGCTCCCCCTCGGCCCGAACCGGCTCTCCGCGTCCAAGACGAATAGCACGCTGATCAAGCTGTCCGAGGAGACGACGTTCTTCGAAGCGAGGGGCGTGTTGGAGGCTATTCTCCGCCTGCCCCAGCACAAGAAGGAACTCGTGACCACGGTTATGCAAAGGAAAAATCACCCCTCCCCATATCAAAACGAAATTTCTGATGCTAGATTTGGATACACAAATCGCGTCTGTGTTGCGGTAAAGGACTGCACGCAGATCGGAGGCCTTCCAGCATTGCAAACGGCCTGCGTGATAACGCGGCGGACAGGCTGAACTTGCCTGCTTGCAAGACAGATGCGATTTGTGGTCACAAATCTGCATCGCAAATTTTCAGAGTGATGCGCTTCCAATATGGGGAGGGGGGATTTTTCCTTGCAATAACGGTTGCGGTGAACCCCGACGTGATCGACCTCCTGGACGCGGACGGCGACAGACTGAAGAATGACACTGGATATCCAATGTGAAAACGTCCCCGCCCCAGAGTTGTATATGCAAGTCTGCATGCTTAAAATCATGTTTCTCATGCGAAGAGGTGGACCTATGAGAACCAGTGGCATTTTGGGATTTGTGATGCTCGAATCTGACTGCGGGGTAGGGACGCTTTTACTCAGGATGCCGGAACTATTGAACACATCACCGTGAAGTACCTGGACGAGACCGCTTTGCAGGGCGCCAACCTGGACGCCTTTTTAGTCAAGTCCGTGGAACAGGAGGCGCAGGAGATCGAGCGGGAGGCCACACAGGCCCGGCGATCGCCGGAGAAAAAGGAGCGGGCGGAAGGCGACGGTGGAGAACAGCCTGCGGAACAAGCGCGCAAAACTCTAGTTTTTCTAGACGACCCGGACGGGAGCAGTGGAGACGCGGCTGCAAAGATCCCGGCGGCTGTGGAAGATCCGATCGTGTCCGAGGCAGCTGCGGATGAGCCTGCCCAGCCCGAGGCAGCTGCGGATGACCGACCCGGCGCAGGAGAAGAGCGAAGTCGTCCGGAAAATGCGACCGAGTCGGCGCAGCCACAGGAGTTGCCAGGCGGAAACAAGAGGACGCGGCCCTGGAAGGAACAAAAAACCACGAGCCACCAGGAGGAACTGCCGTTGCAAAAGGCAGACGGTGTTTCGCCAAAAAACGATGAAAATGAGAAAAAAATCGGGGAAACAAAGTACGATGAGGCAAAACACGACGAACTGTTGGCTACCGGGCATCAACACGATAAAACGAAAAAGGATAAAATCGAGGAGGTTGTTCTTACGGGTACTATACTTACTGCTTTTACAACATTTCTTCGCTTTTGTGATGGATGACGGACACTTTGTGTTTCGCGTACATCTTCCTACTTACGCACCCCACAATCTTTGAAACCCACAAAGAAGAGTTGACCGACTAACGAACAAAAGCAAAACAGAAATTTAAAATAAATACCAGCTAACGTGGAGGAGCAGATTATCAACGAATGGGTCCGCAAACTTTCCGCCTGGCGCCAACATATCGAGAAACAGGAACAGATGGAGAACGTCTGGGCGTTCGAGGGCATCGTATCAAGATGAATGTCGTATCTTCCTCAGGAAAAGGCATTTCTTCAGCAAAAAACGTGGTGCGTTTCGCATTAACGTTCGCTGCATTTTTAGGGGTAGTCCGCCGCATGATATGGCCATCGGGACAATCACCAAATTTGCAGTACTCAGGTGGGAGGATACGCTTTCTAAACTCCATAACCTAGACTGGAGACGGAGCCGTATCTTGGCAAATTTTCGCCGTTGTGGCTTGCTACGATCGGCTGATGAAATAAATGAGCAGACGCTGCCATTGGGTTGTGGTGTTAGCGAGATTCTGCTGGAAGTGCCGGACCCACACGAAAATGATTTGCTATTTGCAATTACCAAAACCACGCTTCTGCATGTCAACAGCCACTGCGGCTCGAATTTTTGCTAGCATACTCGGGACGACGCGGAGGGCGCTCAGCTGATGATAAAACCGCGTGAAGTGATTTGGAACGGAATGTCTTGGGCGGTTTTTATCTATGATGGGCACGCATGCGCTCCTTACTTCTCGCTCGTGCTAAATCTCAGAAACAACAGCGGGCCAACGCGTCCTTATTTCTTCTTGCCGGGCGTTGCACGAACGCGCCGCCGGGCCGAAAACCTTTATCACGGCCGCCCCCCCCTTTTTTCCTTCGTCGCGGGGCCTCTTCGTTCTCGGGGCCCCGGCAACTGAGGGTGGTCATAGGGCGACCTTCGTGGCGCATAGTTCGTCGGACGCGAGGCCAGCCCCCA